GGGAAGAAAGGAGCTCAGGGGACACCCAGGCCCAAAGCAGACAGAGAGTGGCAGGGAGCAGTTAGAGACTCTGGGCTCCCTGTTGGGCCCAACCCCTGCCAAGGAGGTGGTGTCAGAGGTGGGCCTTCTGTCCCTGATCTTCCAGGCAGGTGGGCTGGCAGGGGTCGGCAAGTGGGTGCTAAGCATGTAACAATAAGGGGGCACACAGCCCAGGTAGTCCAGCTCTGGCCTCCCTCTCCCCCTCCAAATGTGTGCATGCTCACTCTGCCACAGGCCTGGCTGAGCCATGCTGGCCTCTGACCCCAGCCCACCAGACTCCAGAAGGGTCAAGGGTGCTGCCTGCTGCTCCACCAGTCAGCCACTACAGAGGGAAGGGATAACACAGTATGGGGAAATTGGGTGCGGCTAGTGGGAGAGGCTGAGCACCATCTGGCAGTGGGAAGGGGGGCACACACGCCACACTGCTCCAGGGCACCTTGTGCACCAGCCCTGCCGGTAAGTCAGTCTGCCTCATGTGTCCACCAGCACTCACACTACGTGAGATGTCTGTCTGTGGGTCTTGGGGAAGTCCTCGAGGAATGGTGAAGACCAGGCTCAGGGACACAGTTGTGTGTTGGGAGGGCCACAGGCAGGGCCTTGGGGGCCAGGCTCCAGGGTCAGGGCCTGCTGCCCCAGGCTCTGTGACTACTGAGCATTTGCTCACCTCTCTGTTCTCCCATCCCTAAAGCAAGCTGATGTAGAAGGAGCTCCTGGGGTGTCAGGAGGGCTTTCTGAGATAACACCTGTATAAGATGGCTGGCCAGGTGCCTCTGGTGCACAGGAAGTGCTCAACAGTCTGTTCATGGCACGGAGTGGAGTATAGCTCTGTGCCTGTTCCACCTCTGCAGACCCTGGCCTGGATTTTGCAGGGAAGGGCTGTAAAGCCTTTGGCCTCTAAGTCACCATGGCAACAGGGGTTATCTGCCTCTTGAGAGTATGGGCCACCTGGGTACTTCATAACTGGTGTGAGAATAGACCTCCACAGGACAAGACCGATCCAAGACTCAGGAAATGGGCTTGGGGTGGTCAGTTTGGAAGGGCTTCTTCCCCCTACTTGGCCTTCAGGGCCAGGGGAGACCGTCCCACTGCAGTGGGCTGGCCAGAAGAGCCCCAGGCCAGCAGAAGGCCCTGCTAACAGGCTGAGGAGTCTAGAGTGCCTACACCCCTACCTCCTCGGAGCTACTGGCACCTTCCTGACCATACTTGCCTCCCCCCTCCATCCTGAAACATAAACACAGGGTCCAGTAACAGCATATTTTGACAATGGGGCAACTTGGAGGAACTTAGCAAATTATTAAAGCCTATAGATTTTGTTGGAATTTTGCAGATAACCTCCTGACCTCTTTCAAATATGCTATGGCAGGGGCCCTCAAGTATGCACAAGGCAGGGGCTGGGGCAAGGGACCATGTCCCTTGTCCATCTTTCAGGGAGGCAAGGCCAACCCAGCCTTGGTCCGGGAGGTAGGCAGCGGGCCCCAGCCCCTCATTTTTGCTCCCAGGCTGCTCTCTGGCTTCCATGGTTAGCATATAGGGCCTCCCTCCAGACGCCAGTGGTTGTTCTTCTAGAACTCTAACCTCACACAGAATGTTCTAGAAAGAACATCAAAGGCTTTCCTTTGATGAGCCTGGCACAGAGCAGCCTTGGTGGTTTTGCTTCCACCAAGGCCTCCCCAGGAAGGTCTCTCAGAGCCCTGCATGGCCTTCTCCAACTACTAACACTGGTCAACCACCCTGGCTGCCATGTGTGAGCAGCTGAGCTCTTTGGGGTCTCTGGCTCAGGCCCTCTACATTTATCTCTTTCCTGCACACCCTCCATCCAACTGGTCACAATCCTGGGGGCCATCCCTTCACACTGCATCCAGACTCCCCATCTCCCTTGCTGCTACCCTGGCCAAGCTGCCATCTTCTCTCCCAAATTCTCACTTGCTCTGCCCTTGCCCTCAGTGGTCCATTTTCTTTTTCCTTTTTTTTTTTTTTTAAATATTTATTTATTTATTTATTTAGTTAGTTAGTTAGTTAGTTAGTTAGTTTTAAAGATTTATTTATACAAGAACCAGGGTACAGGCTAGATGTGCAGGAGGATGAGAGGATTCACCAGAGACAGAGCAGGGAACAGAACAGGCAGACTGACGAAATACACTGCTGAGAAGAGCAGCAGGCACGCAGGAGAGGTCTGCCGCGCCATGTGGGACCCTCACCGGCTGGCTGGGATCGAACCGGCACTGCAGAGGCTGCGGACAGCTTCACAGCGCGGCGCTCAAACACCTGTGCCACCAGGGGAGGCCCCATGGTCCATTTTCGACACGGCCAAAGAGCAGCCATGTAAAGTAAATGACACAGCTGTCTGTTTGGGGAGGCCCACAGCTCTGGACCCCTAGGGCCTCGCTCCTGGTTGACTCTGGACCCAAAAAAGGCGGGCCATTTAACAAGATTCCACATTGACCTGCCCACTGGCACCTGCGGCCTTTGCAAGCTTGAATCAAAAGAGAGGCCTTGGTTTTGCAAGCTATACCTGCTCCTTTACCCTCCAGCAAGAATCCTTCTCCCTTCCGTGGATGTGTGATCAGAGGGGACCCCAAGGGCAACCTGCCTGGGAAGGAGCAGCTTTCCTCTCCCCAGGGAAGGAAGGAAAACGGGAGGATCCGAGGGGTCAGGCAGCTGGGGAGTGGCAGGCCCAGGTGTGGACCCAGGCAGGTGGCTGGTCTCAAAAGCCTTCCCTGTGAGAGGGAAGACAGGAGGGTGGGAGCACAGAGAGGGAGGACAGTGGTCCTTGGTCTCCCAGCTCCCCCTCAAACTACCAAGGCAGGAAAGAGTATGGGCCTCTGTTTGGAACCAGAGAATTCTGAGCTGTGAGCCTGTTTCCTTATCTTATAAGAACATAGAACTCCTAGTGCAAAGCCCTCTCCCGAACCTGACACATTGTAGGAAGTGAGAGCAATACTTCTCCCTCTGGTGAGAACACCCATCGGTGTCACATCTGTCATTTGCAAAGCTCCTGCCCAGTCCTCATGCCATCTAAGTTTCACAGATAATCCTTGGAGACAGAAAGAAGAATGGATTAATCACCATTCCCTTTTCACAGATGAGAGGAGAGAGGTCCAGAGAAGCAACCCCAGGGCTCTACCTGGAGGTCATGTGGCTTAAAGGGAGCAGAGCTGGGCTGTGAACTCAAGACCTTGCATCCTCCTCCCTGTGGTTCTCAAGGACTCTGCTGTGACATTCTGCTATTTGGTAGCATTTGCTTGTTTCTTAAACCTGTGGCAGCCAGCAGGCGGCTGAGCCTCTGAGCTAGGTAATGCTTTTCCTCTCTCAAAGGGCCCGGGGCATTTTATTTATTTATTTATTTTATTTTTTTATTTTTAAAAGGTATTCAGTTTTTGGTTTTTTTTTTTAAAGATTTATTCATTTGCTTATTTATTTATTTATTTATACAAGCACTGGGTACAGTCAGAAGCGCGGGAGGGCGAGAGAATTCACCAGAGCCAGAGCGGGGAGCAGAGCAGGCAGAAGGACCGAAGCACACTGCTGAGGGGAGCAGCGGGCGGCAGGAGAGGTCTGTGCGCCATGTGGGACCCTCCTCCGGTGGCTGGGGAGCAGCCAGGGATCGAACCGGAGCTGCAGAGGCTGCGGGCAGCTTCACAACCCAGCGCTCAACTGCTGCGCCACCAGGGAGGCCCGGGCCCGGGGCATTTTAGGCTCTGAGTCTTTTCACGGGTGAAAAGAGCAGGGCCTTTGGGTAGGACTTCCAAGGATGGATGTGCAGTCTGCTCACCCCACAATTTTCCGGCACCATTCACAGAGGGCCGGTGCGCAAGGTGCCCTGGAGCAGTGTGGCGTGTGCACCTTCCATCTCAATGCCAGATGGTGCCCAGCCTCTCCCACCAGCCCCACACAATTTCCCCATACTGTTTTATCCCTTCCCTCTGTAGTGCACAGCCATCTGCCTCACTCTTGCCTACCCTGGTCCTTTAAGATTTCAGGGGAACAGAGATATGGACTGAGGTGATCAGTTACTATCCCTCAGACTTCTTCCCAACTCTCACTCCTACCTAACACTCTTGCCTGGCTGCCTCCTGCTGCTCATCACCTTCTGGATGGAAATTGGATTTTTCTCTCCATTGACCAGCTACTCTGGCAAATGTTGGAGAGGGGACTGTTGAGCAAGAGAGGGGAGTCATCGGGGAGGAGTCTGGTCATATGTGTGCTAAGCCAGCATGACCTGGTGTGTCACCTTGACCACTAGGCCCATAATTTCTTGATTCCAGAGAGGAAAAAAGACTGGCTTGGTTCCCCCATTTTTCTCTAAACATGGGACCATCCCAGCACTGCACTACTAGGAATCAAAGATTTGGGTTTAAGTCTCAAGCCTGTCATGCACCCAACCAGCTGTACGACCTCAGCAGTCTCCTCCTTCACCGGGCCTCACTTTCCTCTGTAAACAGGGCTGCTAACGCCTATCCTAAAATGCTACAGGTACAAGCCATTTGGTGAATGCCCCATGCATATCCATTGCTACTTGGGATGAAGATTATGAAATCTGCTGCAGCAGCCCAGGACTGCTGAGTTATTTAGTGCATGAGTTTCAGCCTGGGCAGCATATGCCCTCTGTGGCCTGCATTTCAGCTGTGTGCTTGGTAGATGAATAATTAAGAGCAATGACTGCTACCCCTGGGCATCTGAATGGCATGCCCATTATCCTTACAATAGCCTGTGAGCTAGAAAGGGTTTGCCTGAAAAAATACTCCCTGAACACAGAGACATCCTCATTGTCAGCCCTGGGACCAAGGGAAATGCAGAGCAAGTTTTGGCAATAGGAGCCTGGGGGCCCTGCTCTCCTTTCCCTTCACCCTTCTTTTCTTTGCCTGCTGGCCTTGCTGCTCTCCCTCCCCTGTGTCCCCACATGAGGAGCCTCTCCAAGCACATCTCCCAAGCACACAGGAGAGGCCTGAGCTACCACTTACTCTTTTGGGGGGTTGACATCCTCTGGTCGAGTCTCAAAGAACCGAAAGACTTCATCACACTGTGAAATATGGGGAGGCAGTCGGACGAGTGCCTGTGGAAAGACAGGGAAAAGGGTGTTAGGTGTGATGAACCTTGGAACAGGAAAATCAAGAGCAGGGTCAAACTGGGCCAACAGTGAGGGGGGAGGCTCAAGGACTGTGCCACGCATATACAGTTGACTAGCTACTCAACCACCAGTCAGACGTACTCAACAAGTTAACTAATAAGCTAACTAATGAAATGACTATCCATCCATCCATCCATCCATCCATCCATCCATCCATCCATCCACCCATCCATCCATCCACCCACCCAATCAACTAACCAATGAGCTAAGCAACAAACCAGTAAGTTTAATAAAAATAATCAGTTACCAATTAACTTTATAACTATTTAGTCAACAATTCAACCAACTATCCAGTCAACAAACTAAATAACTGGTCAACCAAAAAAACAAAAATAATAATGATTATTGACTCCTAGGTCTTAGGGCCCTCAGAAACTAGTCATTCCTAATCAACCCTCAAAGAATTCCCTTCTGCTCACAGAATAAATCCAAAATCTTTAGCCTGTCAATCCAAGGTCTTATCCTACCAGGTATTTTTCCCCACTAACCACACTCCAACTGCACCATATGGTCACATTCCTTAACCTGACTACACAATTAGTTATTTAATGGCAAGGATAATATGATGTTATAACAGAGTCTGATAGAACCCTGGAAGATTAGGAGGAGGAAGATTTTAGGAAAGACTCCTTGAGACTGAATTCCAAAAGAGTCAACTGCCGAAGCGGGGGTGGGGACAACAAACATGGTGATTCCAGGAGCTGATTAAGGTCAGTGTGGTCTAAGTACCCTGAGCAGGGGAGAGGGGGGTGGCCTGACCCCTGACCCAACAGGGCCCTTGTGCAGGCCACAGAATTTGCACAGGCAGAGAGGGGAGGGTCACCATGCCAGAAGCACAGTGGTCCAGTGTGGTCCAGCTGTGAACTTGTCATCAGGAGGAAAGAGAGTTTGCTGCTGGAAAGTGAGGGGCTAGAGTTCTTGCTCTGCACCAACACGGAGCCCAGCCTCACAGCCTGGGGCCCCTGACTTAGTCCAGTCCAACATGGAGGGAAAATGCTGGAATAGCCCTTTGTTCCAAACAGCCAGGAGAGGTCTTTGCCAAGGCAGGTGAGGGACAGGGCCAAGGGAACTCCAGGCTGGAGCTAAGAGAAGGAAGAGACCATCCTGGGGCCACAGGAGTCACCAGGGAGTGTGAAGGATAGCTGAGGAGAGCATCTGGGTCCACAGTGGTTCCGACTGGAGCCCATGCAACCCAGGCCCCTTCACTGGGCCACTTCAAGTACCTGCTTTGGGGGCTCCCCTGGGCCAAGCATGCTGGGGCCTCCACGTGTGTCTCCCCTGGCACAGACCCTGGAAACCCTCATGAAGGGCCTCGTGGGAAAGTGCTCATTTTCATGTTACTGATGAGAAGATGGAGGACAGGCAGGCCCGCAGCCCCATCAAGGATGGGCAAGACCTTTCGAGAAGGTAAGCGCCCACTGGGCAGGGACTTTAGTCTGTCTGTTGGCTGCTGTGCCCCCAGATCCTAGAAGAGGACCTGGCTCAGAGTAGGCCAGTATTTGTTTGAATAAAAGAATAAGGGTTTTGGTATGCAGAAGCCTAATATCCAGTAGTAGTGGGACATGACAGCGAGGCAGAAAAAAGCACAGGCACTCTTAGGATGCAGCAACAGAAAGTAAAGAGTTGAGAGAAGAGGGAAGTGATTACTTAATTCTTCTCTGACCTGGTCAGACAACAATTTAAGGGTGGCATCTAGCATAGACACCTTGTCACAGTGGTTTCCTTCTCAATTTCAAATCCACCCTGGGCAGAATGAGACGACCATGGCAGGTAAGACAACATCATGCATTCCCCAGCTGTCCGGGGCCTTGCAAGGGTCTCTAACAAATCACATCCCCCTGAACAGCCAGGAGAATGAAAAGGGAAATCAACATTTAATGAGCAAGTGCCAGGTATCAGGCACTGTCCATGACCCCTGTGCCCCCAGTTATCAGAAGGTGAGGGTTTTCAGTGTGTGCCCAACATGGGCTGTGCCTGGTGTTGCAGGGATTAGCCAAGCACACCCGTGTCCTTGCAGAAGCACACCTGATGAGGTGTCATTTCATTCTGGCCTGGGACATTGCTGTCCCTGGTTTGTTGGGGTCACAGAGGCCAGAGGGGGGTTGAAACTACAACTAAAGTAAGTAGCATCATGAGACCCCAAGTTCAGAAGGCGGGAAGAGTCAAACCTGCCCCAGAGTTCAGGTTTGCATTGAACACACATGATATGCGTGTTTTCTCTCCAGGAAGAGAAGGAAAAGGAAAAGGACAACTGAGGAGGAGAAGAGAGACAAGGAGAGATGGAGGAAGCGAGAGGCAGCATTGAGTGGGAAATCAGGCCTGTGCAGAGTGGGCGCTCCTGCCAGGAGGAGGGTTTCAAGAGGGGGCGCCAACGGGCAGGGGTAGGCAGGAGGCAGGAGAGAAACCATGACCAAGGACCCAAGCTTCGGGCAGAGTGGCTGCCAGGGTGACCTCCTTGAAAGGAAGAGGGAGGGGAGGCAGGGCAGGCTTCCAGCTGGCCAGGAGCTCTGGGTACCCTCCCAGCTCTGCACACTGCCACCCACCCCAGGCGCAGACCCTGGCTGGGCCATGGCTCACCCAGCCCCAGCCGTGAACACAGGGGCTCTTCATGCCAACAGAGAATGGCATTCTGGGGGCAGAGGACGCATGGGCCAGGAGGGCCTCAGACAGAGGCCTTTTGGTGGAACCACTGCAGCATCTTTATTTAATAGGGAACCCTGAGGGGGAGCCGCGTGGAGAGCTCGTCCCGATTTCAGGCTGACAAAAGGCTCTCAGCGCAGAGCAGCTTCCATCAGAGTTGCTGCCAAGTCCAGCTCAGGCCAAAATCGTTTGGCAGGAGAGCAGGGTGCTGAGCAGCCGGTCCCCAGGGCCTGGGTTGGCAATGATAGCAGAACCAGGAAGCCCCCTTATCCAGTCATTCTGAGAGGAGTAGGTCAGGCCAGATACAGGGGTATTTTGAGGGGCACCATGCCCTATTCAGGTACAAAGTTCTGCCATAGCACATTCAGGGTGGATGCCATGAAGTCACTAAGTGAGGACATCAGAGCAGATGAGGCTTTGAGACCTGGCTCTGCCGTTCACAGCTGTGTGATGCCACCTGCACTACTCGCCCTCCCTAAGCTCAGTGCCATGGATTTTACATGGCCGCCTACCTGTTAGAAGGTTAAGTAAGGGCATGAATATGGGGAGCTAGTTCAGTGCCTGGCAGAGTAAACACTTGGTAACTGTGACTTGTGAGACTATCATCCTCATTCTTTGGTGAAAGCAGCAGGCACCGGAAGGAAAGGCAGGAGACTTCAATTCTAGCTCCAATTCTGCCTTGATATACTTGCTGGTGACCTCGGGCAGCTCACCTCACCTCTCTGGTTGTCATGTCTTTGAGGATAAAACAGACTAGCTCTGGCACCTCAGAACATATTCCCCGGAACACATGTTTGATGAGGCAGAATTACTTCTGTGAGCGCACATGCAACATTGCTTTAAAGATCCCCATTCTGAACTTGGAGCTCACCCTGTTCATTAGCATAGGCAAGGCCCTGAGAAGTCCTGCAGGAAAGAAACCCTGCAGAACTTTGTTCAGATCAGCATTTATGAATAATAGTGACATCCTGGGGACTGGCTCACTTAATCTTCACTCTAAGCAATGGGTATGACAGTGATTCCAACTTTATAGAATAAACTAAAAGACAGAGAGTTAAGTAATCCCCTTCTCTGTATTGCCTCCGACATCACTCACAGGCATCTGACTATGGAGCTGGTTTCCCAAACAGCTATCGACAGGACAAGAGAACGGGTGGAAAAACCTGGATGAGAGCCATTCTGGAGCTTCTTCTAGCTCCTGGAGCCACTGGCTCCAGGATTGTGTCTGATCCATCCACCAATCAGACTGAGCCTTTCTAACAGGGCTCTGACTCAGGGGATTTGGGAGGGTCCTGCAGGTCTCAAAGTGGGAGAGGGCCTGGAACGAGCATGACCTCATGGCCCTCAGCACCTAGGGAGGGCCCCTGCCCTGGCTTAGAGCTTGCAGGCCCCTGAGCTGGCTGACAGCAGATCTGGAGAAGCAGGATGAGGGAAGGGACCAAGGGCAGTGGGTACCAAGGTAGGAGTGCTGGAGAGCCATGCAAGTTCAGCCATCAGCTAACCCTTCCAGTGCACCCCCCTCCCCAACCCACTTCCCCAGTCTTAAATTGCCCTGAAGGCTCCAGTTCCTGGCCTCTCAAGACCATTTTCTGGGAGCCAGTAATAAAAGCCACCATTTAGCACTATGTCATCATTTCAGATGGTGCAGATTTACAACAGGGAGGGGGTGACAGGCCTCAGAGAACCCCACCAGATAGGGCGGGCACATGCAGTGGCAGTAGCAGGGGAGGGGACCCCTTGCTGACCATGCTCAGACCCACTGCTTCAAGGTGACTCCCCTCTATGGAGCTCATGGCTCTGGGTAATGTCTGTCGCAGGGCAAAAGCCAAGTTCTGCGTTTGATAAAACAACTGTGGGGTCCTGTACTCTGTGAGCTCTAGCATTCTCCTCCTTTCAGCAGCGGCATTTCACTTTCTAATCAATGGAAACCTCATAGGTGAAAGCCCACTTCTCTGGGTGGGATGGGGACTGGGGTGCTGCCAGACTGGCCCCATCACTCATGCCCTCCATCCCCACCCCTGGAGCTGCCTTTAACCTGTCGGGCTGTTCCTCCTATATGACCTTCTGGGAAGCTGGGGGCTTCCCAGACTTCTGTAAATCAGATTATTTCAAACATATGAGCTCTCTTTTTGAAGGCTCTAAGCTGCCAACCCTTTTGAAATGCAAATAGTGTCTCATTTGCGGTTGCCATTTAAGCCATTTCACAAGGGATCCCAGTACTTTGGGGCCTGGGGGATGTGTCACCCCCCCCCCCACCACCACCCCTCGCCTGGCCAGAGGTTTCCTCTGCTTGTGATCTTGCTATCAGATACTGGCTGGACACCCATGAGGGGCCAGGCTTCCTGCTTGTTAGTGAAGATATGAAGATAGCAGACATGGCCTTCAAGGAGCCCCTAGTCTGGGGGAAGATGGACACCAGAGATCATCTACCTGTGGAAAAGAGCACAGCTTGGAGGGTGCAGTTTCTGGGGAATTGAATAGCAGGTGTGGCCAGCTTTCCCCAGGGAATTGGGAGCCTTCTGGAAGGGACACCTTGGGAACTGGATATGTCCCTAGGAAAGGGACCAGCACGGGCTCAGGGCAGAAGCCTTCACCACCATTAGGCGGAGGCACTGGCTGGCTGGCAAGGGCCAGGGAGACTGGCCTGCAGGGGAGAGGGGAGCCGAAGCTGGGCTGCACTTGGAAGCAGCCCACAGAGGGCCTGACGGTGATGCCCTGAGGTTCCTGTGGGCAGTGGGCTCCTCTGAGGGCCCCCAAGGAGAAACAGGATGTGATCAGCTCTATTCTAGATCAGAAATGCCTCTTCCTGGGTTTGTCTGTACTACAGGAGATGGAGAGTGTGTTCCAGCTGGTGCCCACCTTGAGTACCAGACCACTCGGGGTCATGCTTAGATTGGTCTTGGCTCCTTGTCAGTTTCCTCCATCAGCAATGCTCCTGGCCAAGGCCCACCCTCAGAATGGGGGCCACAGCACAAAGTTACTCTCCCTATATCGAGCACAAAGTGTGCCAGGAAGTCTGGGTGATTCTTGAAGGGATCTGTTTAGGTGGCAGAGCCAATGATGGACCAAGATGGAAAATTCCCAAGTGGGAGGCAGAAGACCAGGGACTAAGAACTACTGGCAAGTAATAGCCTGTTTTGTAATCTGGGAAGTTGGGATAAAATAAGTAAGCCTGAAAAAGCAGAGGGTCAGCTGGGGAGAGCCTTACTCTGCCAGGACTAAACCCCTCACTGGGCTTAGAGTTCCTCCCCCAGTCTGACTATAGTCAACCCCTCATCCCTCCCAAAGAGAGGGTCATTGATCTCAAAAGTACGGTAGAGGTAGAATTGTATAAATACCTTTAATTTGGCAAAGGGCAAACTGATCATTCTCAAACCCTTTATCCCCTGGGAAAATATTGCAAACATGTATGTCACTCTCAGAAACAGGGGTGAAGAGAGCTGCCTACAAAATCGTTAGTCCAAACCCTTGGTATACACAGCTCACTTGTTGGTGAGATGAAAGTCTTCATCTTGTTGGAGCCACAGAACCATTAAATATTAACCACATAACCATGCTGCCATTAAATTAATTTATGGACTTAAAGAAATGTCTTTGAAACTCCTTTTGATAGACATTCAGCCCTCAAGTGCCACATAAAACAATCGCCTGGCTGATGCTGGGTGAATTTTCCGTGACACTCATCCAATCTGCTCCATAGATATTTGAAAGAAACCCTGAGATCTGGGTTGTGAAACCACCATTAGGCAGAGGTACTGGCTGGCTGGCAAGGGCCAGGAGCCCAAAGTCTGGGGTGGTCAGACTGCACGGTCAGACATTGCACGTGTGAGTCTGCAGAGTTGCTGGCTGCTCCATGCACAGAGCAGTTGCACAATTTTGGGTACATCTGAATCTCCAGCAAATCCCAGACTCAGAGCTCACACTGTCTAGCTGGGTCAAGGAAGAAGATGACTAGACAAGCAGAGCTCCCTATGCAGGGTACTGTGGATAAAAACCCCAGGGGTTTGAAGCAGGATGTCCAAGACAGGTATAGACAAGGTAAAGGTTGCCACGGAGTGACAGCATGTGTCACTGACCATGAAGTTGGCTGTGGGGGACAGGGACCTCGAGTGAGATGCTGGATCCTGGTGCCCACAGATAGGACTGCCTGGAGTGCAGTGGTAAAGTGCCGTGTTGGCTGGCAGTGACTATGGACTGTTGCTGGGCTTATCCTGATTATCAATCCAAGTTCATGCCAAGGTCTCAGACAATCAGACCACAGATCCCTGTCTTCTAGTTCAGCAGAATGAAAGGTCACCCTTGCCATTCTCAGACTAAATTACAGCCTGCGAGATGGCTGGCTGCGTGGTGAACCCATGATGTTGCTCCTCGCTGCCGGCTGAGTCGCTCTCGTCAGCACTAGTCAGGTCAGAAGGTCCTGTCTCCTGCAGACCCCACCTAAAAGGCTTCCCCAGCCATCAGCAGCACCACAAGGGCCCAGAACCCCCCTTGATCTCACTCCAATTCAGGAGTCTAGCTCAAAGCCTGATCCCAGGAGATTTTATCAGCTTCCTCTGGCAGACAATTCAGGAGTGTCCAACTGCAGATGCCTCAGGCTCCGCAGCGTGGGGAGGTTGAGGCTGATGTGAGCCATAAATCCCAGCTGGAAGAGACCTCCTCTGCCCTGTGCCCCCTCTGCCATTAGCTCTGCCCATGTATTTAACTTGTTAGGAAAGGGATAAGAGAAATAAAAGCTCAGGCTGGAGCATCCATTGAGCTGGAAATGATAAACTTCTTTTAAAGAGAAAGATAAATATTGATCTGAAGAAAAGGAGCTTCTAGATTAAGGGAATTCATCAGGACATGCTTTTCAGCGCAGGCAGAAAGTCACAGATTCAACCTTGGGTTAAGAGAGTGCATATGGAGTGCTCAGGCTTCCTACAGACTTGGGAACACATTACTAAAGTTAGCAGCTTTCTTCTTATTTAAACACTTTAATGCCAAGCACAATGACTCAGAATTATAAAATATCATTGCAGAAAGGGACCTGAGGGTTACAACTCCATGTACAGACAGAGCCTTTCCAAACACTGATATACATTCTCCCTCTCAACCCCTCTTATGAACCAAACCCTGTGAGATAGTTGATTTTATCCCTGTTTTACAGATGAGGAAACTGAAGCCGAGAGGGGATAAAGCCACTTCTCCAAGGTCACAGAGTTAGTAGGCAGGACACTGGGATTCGGCCCCAGCTCCTCTCACTCTTAATACCAGCACTCAAAACAAAACATTATCCCACACTTGACTCTCCTCAACATCCCTGAGTCAGACTTCACAGTGGGTTTTGCTTAACGAAGAGAGTCCATCTCCATTAAAGCAGTGGCACCCAGTGAAAATGTGAAATTATTTCCGCCTTGGAACAGTAATAACAAAAACTAGCGTGCTTTTGTCACAAAACAGTAACAAAACACTGCGTGCTGTGGCCACAGGTATGTCAGGTCAGCACCCCAATGGCCACCTTCAGCGGAGGGGCCGTTCTCTGTCCTACAGATGTGAAAACTGAGGCACCAGAAAGTCAAGTAACCTGCCCAAGTTCATGAAGCTAGTGAGGGGTTTGAACCCAGGCAGCCCAGCCCTCTGGAAGCCTTCAGCCAAGGACACTGAAGTGGGAGTTTCTCAAGCTGGAGGCAGGCGCACGAGGCTCCCAACAGAGTAGAAAGACAAATGGGCTGTGCCTCACAGCATGGCATCCCTTCCTGTCCGAAATTTGGCACTGACTGTTTTAATGTGCAGATGTGCATGTGTATGTGCATGTGAGTGCGTGTGTGCATGTGTACAGGCATGTGAGTGTGTGTGCTGTGTAAGTGCATGTGTAAGGTGTGTTTGCATATGAGTGTGTGCACGTATACAGGTGTGCGTGCGTATGTGTGTGTGCATGTGTGTGACGTGTACTCATGTGTTTGCACATGAATTTGCGTCTATAAAGATGTGTATGTGAACATTTGACTGTATCAAGACTTACACGAACATAGAAATATGCATTTCCTATGCTGCTGAACTAGGAACTGATTCTGACAACGTTGCAAAAAGAGTTCAAAGAAACAGTTTTCTTTTGTCAGCAAAATGCCACATACAGAACCCCTTCCACAGGAGGTCCCTTAACTTAGCTCCCAAACCGCTGGAAGTGATTTAAAATAGCATTTTGTAAACCCAGAGCAGACGGTTTTGTACAGGCAGCCTTACTTCACAGATGGACAGACCCACCCCCAGAAGCACCCTTACCCGGCAGTACTCATCGATGGGCTTCAGCCTCTTCACAGCTACGTCCCGGATGTGGCTTCTCCGGAAGAGGATCTTGCCTAGAAGAGAGATGCTCGTGAGCTGGTGATAATGGGTGACGCTGCGAGGGACCGCTACCTTCTCACTCCTCTCCCTTAGCTTCTCTGCACTTAGCTGACCACCACCCCTGCTCATTTCAAGGAGACAAGAGAGGAGCGGTCACCTCGCCCAGGGCACAGGAGGCTCCCAAGGCTGAGGGTCCTGGACCGCTCAGGCAGAGGAGCCCTGGAGGCTGCCATCTTGGCCGAGTCACCTTGTCTGGGTCTAATGGCAGGATCAATGTCCTGACATGGGCGTGGCTCCCAAGTGACCTCAAAAATAAAGACAAAGGAAGGCCCAACCCACATGCTGTGTTTTGTTTTCAGGCCCATCCCTCCTTGAGAAATCAGCATTCCTTCCTGCCAGCCAGGCAGGAATTCCTATTCTTAGCTTAGGTGGGTAGCTATCTGCAAGGCAGGCACAGGCCAGTGCCAAGAGGTGCCCAGTGGCCCAGTCTGACTCTTCCCTGGTCTCATGCTACGTCAGCCATACAGGTGGCTTTGCATCTGGGCTGGTACCTCCCTCCTATAGTCAGAAACGCCAGCCCCAATACCTCCCCAGCAGACCCCTTAGCTAGCCAAATCTATTATAACAAGTGAATCAATGCATAGTCCTTTCAAAGTCAGTTAAATTTAGAATCTGAACACCGTGGTCTGACATTCAAAGCTTATACAGTTGACCTTTCTGTCTACATTGGCCAGCAATGTCTAGGTTAATGCCCCCTTTCCAGAAGGCCTTCCTTGACTGGCTGAGGTGGGAGTAATCTCTCTCTTTCCAAAGCATCCCCATACTTGGTCTATCCTAAGACACTCTTCACATTCTCTGCATATATTGTAGCTATTGGTGAGTCCCGTTCAGCAGGGGCCCACCTGACTCATCTCCAGGCCAAGGAGGCCAGCATATGATAAAGTGCTCAGCCCACAGCTATACAAGCATCTGTTGTCTAAACCCTCACAGATTCCCTCTGGAGAAGCTCTTCCTCCATTCCTAATCCATGTGGCTCAAAAGGGGCTAAATGCACCCCTGGCAACAGGGCAGACATCTGACCCAGTCTAGCCCACCAGGGCCAAGGTCACTGGCTCAGAGTTGGGCAGGGACCTGATATGGGCCAATGAGGGCCAGCCTTGAGGCTGCTGCTGCTGCCTTCTTTCTCCCATAGTTGCTGAGCAGGATGAAAATCTGGGACTTTCAGGGGTCATTTTTATTATAACCTAAGAAGAAAAACAAGTGAGAAAAAGATCTGTGCCTGGAACAGGAGGTGCTCGGAGAATGTTTCTTGAATGATTGGAAAGCAGAGCCAAAAGATGGGATGAGCAGCTGGATATAAATCTTACCGAACCCCAGGTCTACCTGGTACTTTTCCCTTGTATAATACAATACAATTCTTTCTTATTTAAACTACTTGGAGCTGGCCTTTCAATCACTTGCATTAAAGATGTTCTAATTCAGATAATACCCATTGAAGGTGAACAAATATATAAAATGGATATGAATCCACTTAATCATCTGTCAGGGTCAAGTGAAGTCCTAAGAAAGGTCATTGCCTTGGTTTAGGTAGATTCCCTCAGAAGCAGACTCAGACAAGGAATTGAGACAAGGGGTTCCTCTGGGAGCCATCTAGGAGACACCGGTACGGAGGTGGAGAAGTAAGCCAGGGAAAGGAAGGAAGCACTACCAAGTCAGTTCATCGCTGAGGGGCCACAGGAGTTCTGTTCTACTGGGGAATTCCAGGGTACAAGGCAGACACAGAGGTATCCCAACCAAGGGCAAGGGGCTTGGGTATTCACCCACCCATCCCCTGCTTATCACTGAACTTCCAAGAACATTGTCTTTGGCTGAGTGCGCATGGCTAGAAGAGCTGTTCTCCCAAACAAGCCCCTTATTGTTCTCAGGAGCAGCCTCCGGCAGGTAGAGATAAATAGCCTGTGGGTCTGAGGGGGCACCCACAGCCACGCCACAGCCACAGCTGCCACAGCCACGCCTGACTTCTCTGTCACCACGGGCACTCGTCACTGCTGCAGTCACAGTGGAACTCATCCTGTGACTTGCTTCCCATTTGTCTCATTAGGCGTGAACTGGAGGCCCTGATCTGAGCTCATCCCTCCTCTCAGCTCCACATGCTCCACTGAGCCAAGCTTTGCAGACGGCACGTGCCACACAGGTACTGGGGCCCATTTGCCTTTCCTAGACTCTCTCTCGCTCTCCTTCCTCCCCTTCTCTCTGAAGCCAGGCAAAGAGGCCATCTCCCCATGAGGGACGACACTGTGCAGACCGGACATCATTGAGATAAATAGGCCCAGGCACATGTTCCTTTGAAAGGAGATAAAACGTAATTTATTAAGACATTGGAGAAGGCTGCTTTCCTTGGGGGAAGATGTCACAGATTTGGCATTTCAGGTCTCTTTGCCTCCTAACCTTTTTTGGTTGCCTGCCGCTTTATGGCTCAATGCTGCAGGAGCCTATGGAGGCAGTAAAAATAAATGCATGGTGTGAGGAGACCTGCTCTCAGCACTGACAGTGACAGGCGGCCCCGGGCTGGGTTTCAGAGCTTTCTACCTAAGCCAGTTACCCGTCAGGAGCTGGAGGCCTTCCAGGCCCAGTAACCCCAGCAGTCAAGCAGTATCTTGCAGAAGCCTGATGGACTTGTCTGAGAAGCAGAGGAAACCAAAGGCAAGGCCAGGGGAGGGACCAGGCCCACAAAACTGGCTTTGCCAGGCATTCCTTTCAAATGGAGATAAAATGTGACTTGTCCAGTCTTTAAATATAGCACTCTTGCCCTTCCTTGTCTTGTTGGATGGGGGGATCAACTGTGTCCTCTTCTTAAGCCCCCACTTAAGGTCTGGCCAAATGGGTGACTGAGTCCAGTATCCCTGAGCCAGAGATCCAGTTGGCCCTTGAGAATACAGGTTTGGGTCTGAACTACACTGATCTGCTTACAGGCAACCTTTTTAAAAATAAATTCATTTAAGTATTTTCCTTACAAGTTTTCTTTTCTCTAGCTTGTCTCATTGTATGAATACAGATAATACATACACTACACAAAATACAGGTTCATTGGCCATTTGTATTATGAGTATGGCTAACTTACTTCCAGTCAAAAACAGGTTATTAGTGGTTTCATTTTGGGGGATTTAGGAGTCACACACAGATTTTTGACAGTGGGGGAGATCACCACCCCTAACTCCTGTGTTGTTCAAGAGTCAACTGGGTATACCTATAGTCGGATCCAATTGCAGAGACAAAAGTAGCAAAGAAAGTTAAGGAAGAAGGCAGCCCCCCTAACGTGCAGAAAGTTTGGAGAGGGGCAAGAAGGGGGTGGGTGAGTAGGAGAAGGGGAGAGGCAGGAGGGCTCCTCACCCATGCTGGCACATGTCCCCACCTTACTCCTGAAGCCCACCCTCTGAGGGTAGGACGCATGTCTCCGGGTGGACACCTCCAGGCCCCTGCATGGCCCAAGTTTCTGCTGCTCAGGTGCAAAGTCAGGAAGGTTTCTGCACAAGCCATTTTCTCAGTTGATTTGTTGGAATTGCAACAGGGCTTCCCTCCTTCCCGCTGAAACCCTGACAGAAGCAGCGTTTTCTTTTCTTGGGGCTTTGGCACAGCCAGCGGGGGAAGAGGGAGGGAAGCTCTGGAAGGGATCCTACGGTCTTGACTTCTCTGTTAGGAATCCAAACCGCACTCTGAAAGCCAAACTGGTGATCGTATTAAAAGGGAGAGAGAAAAAAAGGAGGAGGAGGAAAATCCCCATTAAGGAAGCCGAGACCACAGGGCATTAAAGGCCTCTTGTAAATGTAATTCAGCCCGTTTACAGCGAGGTGAGGCTGCTGCCAGAGGCTTCAAAGCCATGCAGAGGCTGCCCCAGAAATCTGATAAGTACCATAAGGAAGATTACACACCAGCATGAAACAGACCTGGGGACTTAACTCATTCCTGCACACAGAGAAGAGAGCTGTCAGCCCCCGTTCCTGCCTATCCTGGCCATTCTCAGCTGACTGGGAATGTGAGACCAAGAGGGGCTTCAGCAGGCGTTTTGGGTTCAAGTCCTGCCTGGGCCAGGGGCTGGCTGTGCAACCTTGAAACAGATCCCTCCTTCCTTGGGGCCTCTGTGTTCTGATCTGGAGGCTGAAGAGCCTGGATGATTATTTCTGGTGTGCGGGGGGAGGTTGGCGCAGAACCAGGAGGCACATAGGAAGAGTGAGACAAGTGGTAATAACACCTAAGTGCTTACTATGTGCCAGACACATACTAGGAGCTTTTCTTTGGGTTCTCTTGCTTAGTCTGCATAACGAGCTTGCAGGGACCTTTTATTAGCCCCGTTTTTCCCAGGAGGAGAAGGCAGCGCAGGGAGATTTAAGGACTTGTCTAAAGTCACTAATGAGTTGGGATTTCAAGCAGGGGTTTGAGCTTAGATGGTGAGTGGGAAAGAGAAGGCAGTGAACCCAGAGAATTCTTTGGGCCTTGAGAGCCATGGTGAGCACTGGGTGTACATGATGGGCACACAGCAGGTATTGCAGGTGGGAAGCAGGATCAGGTGGCAGGTGTTATCTGAGCCAGACCCAAGGCTGTAGATACTAGAGGTGTCATCTTTGCTGCTTCAGAGGCTGGAGGCAGGTGATCAGGGGGCCTGCCTTCCTGAGTGCAGCCAGATGTGGCACATTAGCCCCAGGGCAGCATGAGAAAGATGAACAGGGGCTGCCTGCCAACCCTCTGGCTCTAGTATGGCCAGGGCTGACCCAGGTAAAGGCTGGGAGGCCATAGCTAGGAAACAGCTAGACATTGGGGGCAGGACCAGCTTGTAGGCAGACTGAGGAGCCAGCAAAGGCTGGCTTTGACTGCTTCTCCATTCCTCCCCCTCCCCCATCATATTTCCTTTCATCATAGTCTCTGTGCTCTAACCAGACCCTGTTGTCAAGTGAAAAGCTTTAATCTCAGGCATCAAAAAGGTGGCGGTGAGGTGGTTTGGTTTCAGAGTGGGGTCTAC